GCGCCGTGTAAACATAAAACCATGTCTGCATTTGTGATCGGAGAAATTACAAACAAGCAGCGCTACTCCACACTGCCCAAAACTCTCGTTTGAATCATCAGTGACAAATTCTTTAAATTTAAAAAACGTACTTACAGTCTGTGAGTCAAACTTAACCACTGATTTCTAGTTGTGTCCTCTTTTGGAAGACCAAACAAAGTAGTTTCGCTTTCAGGCCGGCCTAGAGTGAGCGGTGGCCGGCGGATTCGACGAAGGAGGCGTGCGGCAACCACATGTGACGACCCCGAGACTTTAGTCTTTGCAACTTTACAGATCTTCTTTATGCACCAAGAGCTTGTAACACTCCAAAGAGAAAGGAAAAATTAAAATCACATCATATGACCCCTTTAAAAATGCTAATTCATTCTCTGCAAGCAGGAGGCACTTTCAGAACCTCAGAAACAAAGCGGTTTCCCGATAACGGCAGTAAACAAAGCGGCGCTCATTTATTCAGTGAAATCACAGCCTTTAAGCTACATCGCAACTCTAAAGACCTCTTGCAATCATAATTAAGATTTTCTTGTTCAATTAAAGACTTAAGGACCCGCGGAAACCCTGTTTATGAGGAGATACAGACTACATCTCCAGAGCTGCTCTAAGAGTCACTTTACCAGCATTTCACCATTTCATTTGAGAAAAAAATGCTTGTTTTGTTTACGGTGTGGAGACGTGCTGAAATCGCGTTTGGTCTCTTTATTTTCTTAAATATGTATATATATATATAGTATTTATAGAGTTTTAGCTTTAATTACTTTTTCTTATTTGTAAGTCGCTTTGGATAAAAGCATCTGCTAAATGACTAAAAGTAAAAGTAAAAACCATCATATCATATGCACACAGAAACTCAACGTCTCCACAACAATCCCACAAAATAAGTTCAGTTTAACTGGAAGAAATCGACGAATATTACTATTGCACAGTAGAATGTACTTCTCAAAGTAATAATACTACAACTTTAAGGAATACCACTTAATTTCTTCCATGTTTAACATTCAGTAAACCTCTGTTGTGCATCACTTTGAATGAAAATTCTCATTTAGTACTTACTTCTAAAAATGTTGTTCTATTCCTTCATTTGATTACCGCCTTTTTATATAATAAATTTGTATAAAATCATACACCCAGAAAAATAATTAGTACAGTTTTTACTAAATCAGTATCTATGGCTATTTTTTGGCAAGATCAATGTATTTTAAAAGAAACAAATATTAGTAACAGTAGTAATGAAAAACAACTGACAACCAACTCGCATCATAACAAAAATAAGATTCTTCATTTCAATATTTCTAATAAAACAGAAATTCTGAGGGGAAAAAAACATTTCATAGGGCTCTATTATTGTAGGAGTTAAACTTAGTTTAAAAATAGTTTTAAGTTAATATAAAATTGAGACTTCAATTGATTAAACATGCTTTTTGATTATTAAAATTAAACATTAAAACAGAACCTAGAAAAATTTAAAATGGAAGACAATTAATAAAAAAGCAAACTAGTCCTACAAATGTATTACTTTTTAAATATATACTTTTTCAATTAATTAGACACGCTTTTTAATGACTAAAATTTCAATAAAATTAAAATAGAGTAACTTCGAAAATACATAAAACTGAATTTGTGAGAAAAAAAAAAAAAATCTCTGAGGTGAAGTGTATTGGATATATTCAGAATAATCTGAGCATCACTCACCTCTCCTCCTTCCTCTCGTACTCGGATGCTCTGCAGAAGGTCGTTGATGATACTGGCGGCGTGTTCGCAGCGGTCCGGGGGACCCATTATGTGAGCGATCTTATCTGGACCACTACCGTCATCTACAGAGAGAAGAAATATGAAGTTATGCACTATAATATCATAAAACAATGAGTTTAGTCAGAACCTGATAGTCCAAACAAACCTGGTTTAAACTGTATCCTCACGCCGGCATCGTTCTGAATCTTCTTGATCATCTCTCCGCTTCGGCCAATCACGACGCCCACAGAGTGACGCGGAACAGGCACCTGGTCCAATCAGAATGAGACGACATCAAACTCACACTTCAAATGGCAAACAAGCTGCAATGTAAATGATTAAACCAATCATGCACCTCGATTCCTCCACCTATTTGAGAGCCGTACTCATTTCTGTCGAAGCCAGGATGATCCCGCTCTCGCAGAATCTCCTGCACCATTTCACGCGCTTGCTAGAGAGAAATGACAGACACGAACCCTGAGCGGCAAAATCTTAACAGGCTTGTTAGACGTACAACAGGTTACAGAAGAGAAGAACAGACAAAATAAGGAACTGAAACGGGTGAGAGAAGCAGCGAAATGGAGAAAACGGTCACACCTGGACTTTGTAAGGATCTCCAATGATGCGCAAAGGTTTGTCCATGTTTGGCCCCTGAGAAGCGTCCTGAATCAAAATCATCTTCACGCCAGCTCGCTCCTGAAACACAAACACATTAATATGTAGGACGAGAGAAGCTGACTAAAAACTGCCTGTTAAATGTTCAAAATGTATATATTTAAGGTAATTAGTCAAAAAAGTATAAGCAAAAAAACAAAACCAAAAACAAAGGTGTTTCTACAGCTTCTGACCTTAATACAAGCTCATAAAAAAATACTTCCATAATTAGTGGACAATGTACAATATAACACCGTAATAGTTATTATAGTTCATAAGTTTAAGATCAATTAGATTAATTTTTTTATTTCTTCTGCTCACTAAGGCTGCATTTTTTTAAATCAAAAACACAGTAAAACTGTGAATTACTACAATTTAAAAGAACGTATCTATTGTAATATATTTTTAAATGTTGTCAAAGCTGAATTTTCAGTATCATTAGCATCACATGATCCTTCAGAATTCATTCTAATATACTGATTTGCTGCTCAGTGAACATTTGATTATCAACGCTGAAAACAGTTCTGCTGAAGGATATTTCTGTGGAAAACAATTTTCTCCAGGATTCACTGATGAATAGAAAATTCAAAAGAATAGCATTTATTTGAAATAAAAATTAGAGGTTGACCGATTAATCTGCCGATTTTTGGCATTTTTTAATTAATCGACATCGGCCGATTGTGCTGCAAATTAGGCCGATTTATAGGCAGGCGCATCTGTGGGCAGCTAAGCGTTGTTGCGGAACGCCGGAGAATCGCTCTCTGGCTGCGTGAGACGGAGCAGCTCACACTCTGCAGCCGCTTCTTGTTCACACACAGCTTCAGCTAATGATGGCAGGGCAACACAGACTGTTTCGAAAGCGTAATTACATTGTACCCTACTAGAATTGATGCCGGAACGTTATATTCATAAGTGCAAGTCATTTGCATGTGAAAGTAGAAACATATGCAATTCAGACGAAACTTCTGGGCTGATTATAACGTGCACGATAACTTTCCTCATGAAATGTGTGTGTGGGTCCAACAATAGCCTCCACGATGTCATCGCTCGTGGCCAGCGCACTCTTAAGCAGTTATGAGCAGCAGGAGTGTCCAGTGTTTCCCATACATTGAGTTATTTGTGGCGGCTCGTCACAACAGACGGACCGCCACAAATAGATTTTCCAAAAGGCTTCTACTTCCTTGAATAAACGGCACACTGCACGTTATAAAATTAAAATGCAGCGCGGGTGCTTTTATATGAATGTATCTTTGAAAAGAACCGACCGTCTTCAGAAAAGCTTCTATGTCATTTTCATTTCGTCTTTCCTGTAATGCCTGATAAAGTAGCCTTTGTGAGCTCAGTGCTTATTAGATTACAGCCGTTACCGGGGAAACCGCTATATCTCCCGCTCCAACAGCGCCTCCTGCTGGCAGAGAATGAATTTGCATTTGCAAGTCTGTAAGAAACACTGGTGTTTGTCAGCAAACAAACAAAAAGCATGCTTCAGAACTGTTTTGAGAAGGTGCTTAAGTTTTGAGCCACTAATTACTACTCTGAATTAGGCTACTACTACTATTACTATCTTGTATCCTGCAATAATCATTTACTCAAACTCACTTTTTTGATGAAGAAAAAGAACACAAAAAAAAAACAGCAAAAAAAATCAGCATCATATATCGGCTGCCCTGATTTCTAAATATCGGCATTGGCCAGTGAAAAACCCATATCGGTCGACCTCTAATAAAAATCTTGTGTAGCATTATAAATTTAGCTTTAGATCAAATTAATGCATCCCTGCTGAATAAAAGTATTAATTTCTTAAGCCCAAACCAGCCACAAACCTCTAGACAAAAGCCTCACAGACGGGCACAAACTCTACCTGCAGCTGTTTAATGGTCTCTCCTCCTTTGCCGATGATGAGCCCCGCTTTCCCTGCTGGAATGACCATTTCCTGCATGTGGCCACTCCCATTGGTCGACTCGTGGAAGGAGGGAGGAGTGCCCCGCCCCCGAGAGATGATGTCATCCAGCTGCATTTTGGCCTTTCTGCATGGACAGGGTCAAAAGGTCAAAACACCAACAAACAGATGCGCAGTGCAGTTAAACATGCGAGTAAGTACAAACATACTGGATGGCTTCAGGGCCGCCGGTGAGAGACACAATCCTGTCTGGAAGACCGCCGCTGTCTGAACACACACAAAATCAACACGGTCCATCAGGCCTCACATTTAAACATGCAAATATCAAAAACAGAGGAAAGTGTTTGACTCACCTGGAGCGATCTGAACTTTACAGCCAGACTCCTGCTGGATCTTGTTGATCTGCTCTCCACCTCGACCAATGACTACAAACACAAACACATCACTCACTGACTGGATAATAGTAATAAACCAATTTTATCATCTCAACCTCCAGCAGAAGGGTGAATCTCAAAGAACACGTTCAGATGCATGTTTCAAACAATAATGTTGTTTTTATAACTACAATATATATAAATAAAATAAATATGTATTTTTAAATATTCATATAATTTAATATATAATATGCATTTTATTATTACATTTTAATTATATAGACTGTATAAAAATAAACACACACACATATATATACAGTGCTCCAGACACACAAAAAAAATCCATTAAGAATCAATAATCTAGAAGAAACTAAATTAGGCACTAAATTATATTTTTAAGTGCCACAGAATAAACGTGTTTTACTCATTTATTTATTCTTTTTTTTTTACACAATTTAAAGGGGTCATATGATGCTTTTTTAAAGATCATTATTTTGTGTATTTGGTGTAACCAACTTCAAGGATCTTATCTATTCACAATCAGCTTGTAACACTCCAAAGAGAAAGGAAAACTTGAAATCGCATCATATGACCCCTTTAACATTTCAGTCATACTGTCATGTGTTTGTCTCATCTTGTCTTGATCAGCATTTTAATCCATCTTGTAGATGTCCTGGGAACTAAGGTTTATTTAAAGTAGGAACTAAATGTCTTTTCCAACTTGAAAACTATATTCAGTCACAAAGAATTTATTACACAGAATCTGTGCCTATATCACGGACCATAATTATTTCAGCATCACTTGACCCTTGAATGTAGTTTGAGCTCCTCCTCAATGCATCCCATAAATGCTGTCATATGTCCTGCACACATCCAGTCTGTTTTTCATTAGTAACATGCAATTATATAGGAGGTGTTGAACTTTACCTTTAGCTCCTTGCATTCTTTCTTATGTCAACAGGTTAAGTAAATATATGAATATGCAATATAGCGCATAAATCTGGCGCAATAAATTCTAGCTAACTAATGAGCTTATGGACGCCGAATGGTTATTCTGTGGTAAATGTATTGTTACGTGGCATTGTTTACAAGCTTTACACGTTTTCCGCAGTTTGAAACACTGAATGAGCGATTACACGAGACATTTCAGTAAGATGTACTGTAGGCTCTCTTATAATATACCTATTGATGTTCATTCATGTTTATTTCATACTATAGTAGTAAAGAGAAAGATATGATGGGTTCACGTGCCGCTTGAACTATGCAGTATTATTTTATTTTTGATTTTCATTATGAATTTTGCCGAATTTTAAAGCTGATCCTTTGTTTATTAAAAGACAACAGAGCACAAAGCTTATTGCGATTATTGGACGTCAAGTGCACTACAAATAATATAAAGTTCACGTATTAACAGAACACAGCATTTAGACTAAAGATCCTGATTACAAGAAGCCATATTAGTATTGATTATAAATGAGAATTGTTAACGATATTGCTAAAATCCACACTGCTGACAGCTTTACCTGTTGTAGTTTGTTCAAGTTGTGCATGAAATAGACCCTGCCTTTCTGCACTTTTACTTCGCACGTCTCCGTCACTTTCTCTCTCTCTCATGCTGCCACAGCTGGAGCTGCTTTCAGCAGGTGTGCCGTCAGCGCTGGTGTTCAGCAGAGATGAGGACTGTTTTTCCTCTAAAACTTTGATGCGCATCGTCTCAGTTTATTACGTCAACATAACAAATCATGTGATCGCAAAACAAGCAGGAAAAAAGGCATTACATGCAAAATTTTAAATCATAACATTTACATAGTCGCCAGTGGCAATCTCAGCAAAAATATCACTAGCAAATTAATATGTTAATTATATAATATATATACGTATTTAACAACATACTATAACATGTATTTTCATTACAATACAACTTGTTAATTATGTGCGTTGCATATTATAACTTGTAATTTAATAAATGCAGAATATAATAATTTTTTTAAATTGTATAAATTGATTACTTTCATATACTTTTTAAAATAATATACAATTTATGTACATTAATACACTACTAGTAAAAAAAAATAAAAAATAACACTAGCTTCTCTAATCTTTTTGTATTCTATTTGTTTTTTTTTATTATATGATTAAAAAAAAAATAATTAATACACTTAATTACATTAATACACTACTAGTAATAAATTAAAAACATACAATAAATAATAATTATTTAATTTTTTTTGATTTGGCAAGAAATATGACCCTGACTGAGATTCACACAGGAACGCTTGAGTATGGACCAGTGCATGATGGGTAATGTGAACTTACTGAGCCCAACCATGCCGTCAGGGACTCTGTACTCCTCTGTGATGGACGAGGGACGTACACTACAGACAGACAAAAACAAACGCAACAGTCAGGAAAAATAACAGCAGACAAATACGTTCAGTTCTTAGCAACTTGTGGCCGGGACGAAACCCTTTTTCGTTGTAATTCATGTGATAAAATTAAATAGATTTATATAGACATCTTTGGTCGCTGCATCACGTCTCGCACTGCTTTGAGTGTCCCGCCATGTGTTACATACTGAAGAGACCACATTAAAAATAGTCCAACTTTTAAAAGAGCACCTCAAGACCCCTGTATTTGGCTTAACACTAGTGCTGGGCGGTATGACCAAAAATTTATATCATGGTATTTTTCAAAATTATACCGGTTTCACAGGAGTTCTTCTGTGTCATCACGTTCTATTAGTTCTACAGCTTCAGTTTCGGAACTTTCACGCTTAGTAACACATACAGCTGTTCCCTCACCACAGTGCAACAGTGAAAAGGGACCCCTTTCAAACAGTGTCGCGTTCCGAACATTATTTAAGTGACATACACGGGTATTGCGGTATTTTCAAAATTCATATCATAACAAAAATAAACACCAGTATTCGGTATGAACCGGTATACCGCCCAGCACTACTTAACACATCTGATCGAGTCAGTGGAAACTGAAACCAGCCTAATTATACAGGCCTGTGTAGTTATTCTTGCCTTCTCAAACACTCAGATCTGAGATCTGTTTTAATGACTCGGATGACGCTAACAGCTCTGATCAGAGCACTCATGAGGACCGTCTTACCTCTGCTGAGAAAGGGCAGCCAGCTGGGCTCCGATAGCTGTGGATGAGAAAGGGATAAAATCACTGCTCTAAATATACACAGACACTTGCTTTGAGTTGCAAAAGTGAGTGTGTGTGTTTATAAGAGTGTAAAAAAAAAAAAAAAAAGCCAAAA